GGGAGAGAGGTGGAAATGTTCACAGATTAGAGGAAGAGCCAAGAAGAAATATGTGTGGACAAATGTGAGAAGTGGAAGTGACAGAATCAGGATGGTTGTTGGGAGAATAACACGGTAAACGGGCAAAACTCAGCTCTTTTTATCTTATCTTATCTCCTTTTTTGTCTTTAATTTCTTCTAAATGTTTTTTTTGTCTCCTTTTTATACATTTTTTAATATACATTTTCCAAATGTATATTTAATGTGTATTTAAACAAAGAAAAAGTAAGTATTACAAAAGAAAAAAAGGGGGGAAATTGCTTGTTTCTCCTTTTTTAGGCAAAACATACTCAGCTCTTTTTATCTTGATGGATTTCTGCTTGTGTCCTCCCTTTTTTCTTTAATTCCTTCCAAATTATCTTTTTTTTCTTTTTTATAAATTTTTTTAATATAATTTTTTCAAAATGTATATGTTAAAAAAAATACATAAAAGAAAGTATTAAAAAGAAAAAGTGGGGGAATTGTTTGTTTCTTCTTTTTTTGGCAAAACTCAGCTCTTTTTATCTTGATGCATGTTTGCTTGTGTCCTCCCTTTTTTCTTTAATTCATTCCAAATGTATATTTATATATATTTATTTTTGATACAATTTTAAATATACATTTTCCAAAGTCTATTTTTTTCATTAAAAATAGAAACAATAAAAATAAAAGGTTAAAAAAGGAAAAGGTTGCTCGTTCCTCTTTTTTCTTTAATTCCTCCCAAATGTCTATTTTTTCTTAAAAAATAGAAAAAGACAAAGTGTTAAAAAAGAAAATAGGGGGAAATTTGCTTATTTCTGATTTGAACTTCACCAATCTCACTTTTTTCTCCAAAATGTGATCTTCTGTAATTAATCACATGATGTAATCTAGATTAATCGCATTCTATCAAATACCAGATGGCATTAGCTTGCTAGCAGTGCTACATGACTTAATAAAATAAAATAAACAGGGAATCAACAAAAAAAAACTAAACGATTTTGTTTGAAATTCATCGTCCCGCCTTGTTATCTTGCAGTTAAATGATTTTTTTGCATGTTGATTTTAGTCTGCTGGGTTGCTTTTGGTAGCTAACAACCTTTCAGAGCTTTTAGCCCTGGTGGCTAACACCAGATCCCCTAAAATTTCAACCCCTGCATCACTCTAAGCTCTTTTCCTGCTTCACCAGAACAAAGATGGCCTCCGGTTAGCTTCCTTTTAGCTCACCGGACTGCGAGCATCCTCCTGCTAAATAACCTGACTAAAGCCAGCTAAATAACCTGAATAAAGCCAGCTAAATAACCTGAATAAAGCCAGCTAAATAACCTGAATAAAGCCAGCTAAATAACCTGAATAAAGCCAGCTAAATAACCTGAT